GTGTACTCCAGAGAAAAAAAGCTAAGAAAGTAAGATAGCAGGAGATCCGAATCAGCTTTTACAACTCAAGGCAAAAATTCGTCAATACGATGGCCAATTTTGTTTTGACGACTTGCTTGCTTAATGGTCTTCTTATGCTCTTAACAATCATGGGCAACGTTCTCGTGTTGACCGCAATGTTAAAACTCCTGTGTACTCCTCGTGTTTTGCTGACTGTAACGGTTTTAGTAACTTTTGTTGTTCTGCTTTTATTTTATGTAGTAACTTTGACTCGCAGTTTCTTTAATTATCACCCGCGATGCAATGACATAAAACAATTTCATGTTTGTAGCTCAGTTTTTGATCAGTTTTGATGCCCAAGATAATGTGAATCGATAGAAATCTTAATGAATCGCTCTATTAAAGTTTGTTTCTATTTAAAGACACTCCAAAAGCGGAGAAGACAAAATTAAAACCATAATTCTAAAGTGACACCTGTTTCCTGAACGTGTTTTTCAAACTCGTGCTTGCTTTGTCTAGAGAAAGAAAATCGATTAAAAAAGGCGAAAAAATGCAACCTTCTCCGGCAGTCTTCTCGGTCTACAGTATCACTCTTCGCCGACTTTTGATACTTTTGGTAATCCTCAAACTCCATTAAAAATCATCGGTCGTAATCTGCCATATCGCTTGATATACACAGCCTAAACGTTCCATCCGATTTTGTCGATTTTGCCTTAAGCCATTTTTTGATTTAAACCATAATCTTTGTATAGAAAGCCACACGTTTTTGTTCTTAACAAACGTTAGTCACGCATGGTACTTTTTACTTTAGCGACTCTCCGGCATGAACTCTTTAAAATTCAGTTCATTTTGTGGTATTTTATTCCCCTGAAGTTAGCATAAGTGTGAAAAGTCTCGATGATTTGAGCTTTCCGGAAGGTGGATTAACCAGCGATACATAACTGAGTTTTCTAACTAAAAAACCGGAATCCACATAAACACTGTACCACTACGAACACCCTTAAATCTCTCGAATTACTTTTGCAATGGGCAGAAGTTCCTAGCTCGTTATATTACTTTCACACAAAGCGCTCTTGTAGCCGAAATTATCATTCAGCTCTTAAAACCTTTCACAGTTGACTGTCATAATCAAAGATAATAAATGAATAAGGAATTTCTACATTGTTTTCAACCTGTTCTAGTTTATGAATAAATTTGAAATGTCTTACCTCTTCGCACACTTGCTTCAATCGATTTCCTTGTTCAACAAAATGTTTAACGTTGGATAAATAGCGAGGCTCCCTCGAAAATAAGGTCGAAGGTTTCTTGTTCCACAGCAAGACGAATATTCTCTCAGTTACAGGAAACTATATTCAAACAAAAGGCCCATGCACTCAGGGAGTCATTGTTTACAATGACATATTTCGCTTTCCGATTGAGCTGTAAAAGTTAGCCATTGTTTACATGCATGGTTGAGACCCAAATAAACTTTGTCCAAGCCGGTTATATTTGTCTCCTTTCCATAAATCTTTCGGCCTGTGACCTGTCATTTAATTTTATTAAGGACGTGGCAACAGTGCTTGGCCAGAGAAACACGAGACGGGATTTAAAAGATAAATATGCAAAATTTGCAAAAGACTATAATCATTTTGAACTTTAATTGGTCTAAGTTTCAATCTGTCCAATTATTATTCAAGACATGTCGGTCTTTACAAATATGTTGTTAGATTACGAAGTTGTGCGATTGTGTACACAGAGCTTATGAAATATACAGGTGATTTGTTAATAAAACACTTGCAGAAGAAGGTGAAGGCGCTTGAAGGAACTAGTTTGACGTCACAATGGCAATTGTTTAGACCGGAAGCCGGATCGTACTGAAATCCCGACGATAATTTCATTTACAATACCACAGAATACTCTGGCATCCTTTGTTAATTGCTGGCTTTTGAATACAATATTTTTTAAGTCATATATGCAAAGCCCATGCTCACGTTGTAATGAGGTTAATTAGGTTAAATTATCCCTTTCCCGGTCCCAGATTACTTCAAATCCAGATAGCATTCCTCCCTTTTTACAGCCAGGGTTTGAATTTGCCCAGTACCCGTATGGCGTCTTCCTAGTCCTTCTCGGTCAATGCATTTTGGTGACGTATCTGAGACCTCAACAACTCGCTCGGACCACGTGATCCGAACCGCATCGGCTGCGCGCAGTAATAACGCCCAAGGACTAGGCAGGGTTTGAATTAGGACATCGAGTAGTCTCAGCCGCCAGTTAAATTTCAGAGCCAGTATTGAAACCCGCCAAGAGCCGCAAGTCCCATTAGTCACACAATTTACTCCATTTTCCTCTCCGCTCTCATCCTTAACGTTTTAGGGACCACCCTCCTCTCGCGAGGTTCTGCGAGCCCCTCCCCGACCCCAGAAACCTTCAACGCTTGTCGAGACCCGAGGGTAAAGTAACGTGCCTGAGGCGTTATTGGGAGCACCAAGAGGGGTTAAATAAGGGCGCGAGCGCGCAACGAAGCAGATGAAAGTTTACCCCCGACTTGTGATCAAGAATAGTTTGATAGAATAATCCCAAAAACTCTCAAAATGAACTCGATATTTAAAACAGATCGCCTAAAATACTGAAATCCCTTTTGCCGGCCATGGGTAGCATAGAGGCGGGAAGATCGTTTTCTTCTCTTCGGGGAATCCATACTTTGCTTCACAACACAATAAACACCGAACGACTCAGCCATCTCTATGCATGATGATAAAGTTTCCATCAATAAAAGGCTGGTTTGCGAGAAATTTGTTGCGCAGCACCGCAGACTAAAGATGGTGACAAGCAAGTTTCTTGCCGGGGTTTCTTGTAACAGTTTAATCTGTACTGTATTTCTGTGTTGTGCTTGATATCGTATGCTGCAATTGAGAGTACGCGATTTTAGTGCTGTAGTATGTGGCGTTGCGTGATCTTGCGGTGTTGTTTGTTGGGGCTCACCTGTTAATGGTCATCTCCTATGTTAGCCGGCGAGGAGGACCCGAGATAATTCATTTTGTGCAGAAAGCAAACGCCCCCCAACCCACCCCCACCCCCGACACCCAAACCTCAAGTGCTGAACCCATCCGTTTTAGATACAAAGTTCATATCTTAGCCGAAAGAGAAGTATCCGTACGGTAAAGAGAAGAGGGGCTGCATAGGCCTCCAATCCCTCCCACCCCGTGTCTAGATCACATTTGCTTCTTCTGTACCGTAAACATTTTGCTGAAGGATGGACAGTTTGATTTACTAAGGAACAAGGCCAGGCGACGTGTTACTAGTCTAACGGAACTTTAATAACATCACTTTAAAAAACCAAGGCTACGTATAAAGATAAACAGGAAACCTGAAAATGTATCAGCCAATATGTGTACAAAAAATTCTAAAATGACGCTTGGTGTAGATCAGTGAAAGTGTGATCACATTAAGCTAATAACACGCCCATACAGGAAAATTTCTTAATGTATATGTCATATGTAGCTCTATGCGTACCTTACGAGCAGTGGTTTAACTACTGCTCGCGGGGTGCTGTATGCATGGCTATCTAAATTGATCATATATGTCTATCAATTTGTGACAGTGTCGCCATAATGGATACTTTCCAGAGATAATAGTAAAGCGTCATTTACATCTGAACCGTTTTAGTTTGTTTAAATACACATTGTTAATATGACGGTACTATATTTACGCAATACTATATAAAGCCACCGCGTCCAAAAAACAATTTTCCGTAGTGTTAGTTATATTTCGCAGAATGTTAATCAATCCCAAATTGTACTATGTAAAGCTATAATATATCACATGTAGCTACACTGCATGTACAACTATCTACAATGAATAAATACATTGTCTATCAATTTAACCCAGTCTCCACCATCGCATTGCTGGAGATTTTTAGTGACGCGTTTTCCATATGAACCTTTTAATTTTTGAAATCACAACCTGTTCAAGTACACTATAAAGACATAGTAGTGTCCAAAAACAATTTCGCTTCACCTAAAACTGAAAGTATTATGAAAGTAATACAACAGAAAATCGAAGGGCTGCGAGATTGCTTTGAAGTTACCTGATCACTGAGAAGCTTTGCAGAAAAAGAAAAACAACTTCTTTTTAAGGCTCCAAAAACGGCACTGAATCCAGACTAAAATCAGCGCTATTCAGGGAAAAACCAACACATGTTTAAATGGATTAGATAAGTGTACTTAACAGAATGTTGTCATTAGTTTTAAGATACTTTTAGCTTCCTGGGTTACTTTATTACTAAAGAGGTTTGGGTAGTATAGCGGGATGCAAAATCCTCGAGAGATATCAGATCACTGATGAAGGAGTTAAACACTTCACTGCAGCCCTCACATACACTAAGCTGAAACCTCCATAGTACTAATGAAGACACTAATGACGGAGTTAAACATTTAAGTACTGTATCCCGCTAAACTACTCAAACATTAGAATGATTGTGTTGGTTGCCAGGTAACAACTTCGCAATCTCAATACATCCTAGCGACTGAAGTTTGTTGAAGCTTAAATCAAAATACAAAATTCCTTCAACAGAGAAACATTTACATTTCATACACGGATTTGAAATTTACTTTACAGTTTATGTTCAATGAGTTTAGGAGATTTCTACTTTTACCAGTTAAGCTGTTATCCCAGAGGTATAAGCTGTTTAATTTGCAGTTAGTGTGTGTGAGTGCTGTAGATAAATGTTTAACTGCTTCATCAGTTATGTTGTTATTCCCGAGGTGTAAGCTGTTTAGTTTGCAGTTAGTGTGTGTGAGTGCTGTAGCTAAATGTTTAACTGCTTCAACAGTTATGTTGCTATTATAGAGCTTTAAGCTGTTTAGTTTGCAGTTAGTGTGTGTGAGTGCTGTAGTTAAATGTTTAACTGCTTCATCAGTTACGTTGTTATGCCCGAGGTCTAAGCTGTTTAGTTTGCAGTTAGTGTATGTGAGTGCTGTAGCTAAATGTTTAACTGCTTCATCAGTTATGTTGTTACTCCTGAGGTCTAAGCTGTTTGGTTTGCAGTTAGTGTGTGTGAGTGCTGTAGCTAAATGTTTAACTGCTTCATCAGTTATGTTGTTTTTGATGAGGTTTAAGCTGTTTAGTGTGCAGTTAGTGTGTGTGAGTGCTGTAGCTAAATGTTTAACTGCTTCATCAGTTATGTTGTTATACCCGAGGTTTAAGCTGTTTAGTTTGCAGTTAGCGTGTGTGAGTGCTGTAGCTAAATGTTTAACTGCTTCATCAGTTATGTCGTTACCCTCGAGGTTTAAGCTGTTTAGTGTGCAGTTAGTGTGTGTGAGTGCTGTAGCTAAATGTTTAACACCTTCATCAGTTATGTTGTTACGCCCGAGGTTTAATCTTTTTAGTTCGCAAAAACCCTGATTGTGTTGGTTGCCAGGTAACAACTTCGCAATCTCAATACATCCTAGCGACTGAAGGTTGTTGGCGGCTAAATTAAAATCCAAAATTCCTTCAACAGATTTAAGTGCATGCACTAATGCTAAACAGTCGAGAGGTGACAGTACATAAAAATGAAGCGCATTACAACCAATTTTCGCCAGTTTCTTTTGAACTTCTATAGTTTGATAGAATAATCCCAAAAACTCTCAAAATGAACTCGATATTTAAAACAGATCGCCTAAAATACTGAAATCCCTTTTGCCGGCCATGGGTAGCATAGAGGCGGGAAGATCGTTTTCTTCTCTTCGGGGAATCCATACTTTGCTTCACAACACAATAAACACCGAACGACTCAGCCATCTCTATGCATGATGATAAAGTTTCCATCAATAAAAGGCTGGTTTGCGAGAAATTTGTTGCGCAGCACCGCAGACTAAAGATGGTGACAAGCAAGTTTCTTGCCGGGGTTTCTTGTAACAGTTTAATCTGTACTGTATTTCTGTGTTGTGCTTGATATCGTATGCTGCAATTGAGAGTACGCGATTTTAGTGCTGTAGTATGTGGCGTTGCGTGATCTTGCGGTGTTGTTTGTTGGGGCTCACCTGTTAATGGTCATCTCCTATGTTAGCCGGCGAGGAGGACCCGAGATAATTCATTTTGTGCAGAAAGCAAACGCCCCCCAACCCCCAACACCCAAACCTCAAGTGCTGAACCCATCCGTTTTAGATACAAAGTTCATATCTTAGCCGAAAGAGAAGTATCCGTACGGTAAAGAGAAGAGGGGCTGCATAGGCCTCCAATCCCTCCCACCCCGTGTCTAGATCACATTTGCTTCTTCTGTACCGTAAACATTTTGCTGAAGGATGGACAGTTTGATTTACTAAGGAACAAGGCCAGGCGACGTGTTACTAGTCTAACGGAACTTTAATAACATCACTTTAAAAAACCAAGGCTACGTATAAAGATAAACAGGAAACCTGAAAATGTATCAGCCAATATGTGTACAAAAAATTCTAAAATGACGCTTGGTGTAGATCAGTGAAAGTGTGATCACATTAAGCTAATAACACGCCCATACAGGAAAATTTCTTAATGTATATGTCATATGTAGCTCTATGCGTACCTTACGAGCAGTGGTTTAACTACTGCTCGCGGGGTGCTGTATGCATGGCTATCTAAATTGATCATATATGTCTATCAATTTGTGACAGTGTCGCCATAATGGATACTTTCCAGAGATAATAGTAAAGCGTCATTTACATCTGAACCGTTTTAGTTTGTTTAAATACACATTGTTAATATGACGGTACTATATTTACGCAATACTATATAAAGCCACCGCGTCCAAAAAACAATTTTCCGTAGTGTTAGTTATATTTCGCAGAATGTTAATCAATCCCAAATTGTACTATGTAAAGCTATAATATATCACATGTAGCTACACTGCATGTACAACTATCTACAATGAATAAATACATTGTCTATCAATTTAACCCAGTCTCCACCATCGCATTGCTGGAGATTTTTAGTGACGCGTTTTCCATATGAACCTTTTAATTTTTGAAATCACAACCTGTTCAAGTACACTATAAAGACATAGTAGTGTCCAAAAACAATTTCGCTTCACCTAAAACTGAAAGTATTATGAAAGTAATACAACAGAAAATCGAAGGGCTGCGAGATTGCTTTGAAGTTACCTGATCACTGAGAAGCTTTGCAGAAAAAGAAAAACAACTTCTT